CCATGAACAGTCCAGTCTTCATCATGTATGGGAAAGAGGAATGGATCATGCCTCTTAAGAAGGCATTTGTCTTCAGGACATTAGTTGGGACATTTGGTCGGTCTCTTTACACTTAGAGAAATTTTGGTAAAGGGACAAATCTAGTTCTCTCTCTAGTACTTGTTGCTTCAGTGAAGAATATGTAGCTTTGCTAAGCCTCTATTTTGCAAAAGTCCCAACAACTTCATGTGTTCAAGACTCTTGAAAGCTAGGCTTCTCAGTGTTAGAAGGGATGGATCTCCTTGTTATAACAGGGTTGGATTGGGTTTTTACTTGGGTTATAGGAACCCTGAGCACCAGCTGCTTCTGACCTTGTAAAGAATCATCACTACTGCTGATCCTAGAGGAAGAGGCAGGTCTTTGGCCCCAGAGACTTATTCTTCTCCATTTTATACTTGCATGGAGTGTTTGTTCTTAATTTGACTGAGTTTTTAGGGACCTGAATCTTTATCAGATGGCTTGTTTCTCCGGGCTCTTTTTCTGATGGTTTGTTTCTCTCTATCTCTTATAAGCATTCCCGTGGGGATTGCTGTTCTCAGAGTTTATGGATAGACCTCTAGGACATGACCTCATCCAGGAAACAGAATGTTCCAGTATATGGGCCTATAGCCAATGGTTAAACAGGAAATGTTAAATTTTAACATGAAAAATGAGAGGTGGAGATATAATTACCAAAACTTTCTAATGCCTTGGGGATGTTTCATTCAGTGGTCAGTAAGGAGGTAGTCCAGGCCACCAGTTGCTTTCATGGAAAATCTGGAACCTAGGTTACCAGCCTTAGGTGACATTCTGTCACTGAGAAGCAGATGACAAAGCAGGGATCATAGAGCCAGTGTGCAGTTACTGGAGTAGGAAATGACAAAGACTGTGACGCCTCACAGCCACCCCCCCCCCCCGGGGGGTTATCTCTCTGGTGATAACTGTGAAGATATCAGTCCTAGCATGTGACTTAAGGACAAGCAGCTTTTGATCCCCTTCTGCATATTATGTGGACCTCAAGGGAGTAGTATCAGCGAGGAGTACCGACATCAAATCTCAGGATTCACAGACCAATGGCACAACTCCCCGATCGCCTGTTTCAAAGTGACCAGCGCACCAAAAAAGATGCCATCTGTGGAATTTTATGGCTGCAGAACTGTGAGTCACTCTCCAAGTGAAGAGGGAATGTCTCCAACAAGGCACTCTTGAAATTAGACTTGGGTCTCCAGTCTTCCTCAGTTGGAAGAGGAAGGAAAGAGAGCATCTGAGGGCAGCGGCCTAGCTCCCTTGCTGTCGGGTGAGACCAGAGGACCTCAAGCTGCATGTAGCAGAGGGCCCAGGCGTCAAGATTGTTTGGGGGGGGCGGGAAGAAGGGTGAAAGAGCCACAGGTCTGTCTTCTCTCTTTCAAGCAGGTAATTCTCCTTTGATCTGTTTTACTTATGTGATAAAGGAATTTCACATTTTCAACACTAAAAGTGAGAAAACCACCATCCTGGTCCTGAAAGAAACTCCTTCGCCCAGCAGTGCTGCCTAGCCCCGGGGAGAGCTTGGGGCAGAGGCTGTGGTGGGACTCTGATGGCCAGGGGACGTGCCACAGCTCGGGCCCCTCATCAGACAGACTGGTTCTGCATGGAGTTCACGAAGCTCTGCCATACCAGCGTCGCTCTGAAGGCCTCAAGTCCTCGGTGCCAGGAAACACACGTCTATCCTTCCCAAGGGCTACAGCTGCACTGGGGAGAGCACGGTTACAGGGACAGAACGGTTACAGCTGCAGGGAGGAAGAAACGGGATGGAGGAGGCCTGCCAAGCAGACCCGTGGGCAGCTCTGGAGTGAATGCTTTCTGGACTTCTCCGGCACATTGGGCATGAGCTCTACACTGGGCACCTGGCCAAGGGGCTGAAGAATGGACGACAGTGGACAGAAGGTCATTGGAAAGGGAAAGATATTCATGTGTCGGGCAGTGCGGTACAAGGTTAAATTGCTACAGGCTGAAGCAGAGTCAGGCTGTCCACCCATCCTCTACACTTGGTCAGCTCACAGGGTGCGGGAAACAACTTGAGAAGCAGAAGAAAGAGCCCAAGGAAGGCTGGTCACAGTGTTGAATGCCGAGCTGCTTACCAGAGATTACCAGAGAACACATTAAGTTCATAGGCCTTGTATCTGCCAAACCTGGAGTTGCCAGCTTCCGCCAGGATCAGTGGAGAAATGTGAGAGGGAAGGAGCAGGTGGCAAACTGAATGTGCAGACGGGTCCCGGGCCTCCAGCCACAGCATGAACGGTTGGTTCTCATAGCGTTTCCCGCGCTTCTGCAGCCTCTCAGTCCCTCTTCAGCCTTATGAACCCTCCAAACGTGCTCTACTCTGGGGAGCTCTATGTCCCAGCAGCACATGCTGTTTGTTTCCCTCCCTCTGCCTGGAAGTCTACCACACTCTACCACACACCATAGACCACTCAGGCATCCCTGTGTTAGGGAATGTTGTCCTCACGCTTTCACACCACATCTCCTTGTTTTGGACAAACATCACCAGGTAGGCTCTGCACTGCCTCGCTCCCTGCTGGGGGACCCAGGCCACATCAGGGGCACCAGACCCACCTTCTGCATGATCCTGGTCAGAATGGTCATCAAGACCACCATCCATGAGCCTCAGATCTATGCGACTACCTCCCGCATCAGAGCTGGCCCTCTTAGGTCCAGAAACTAAGAGGTGGAATTAATTTAGAGAAAGACTGTGTGGGGCTGTATGTCTTGTACATCAGTAAGTCCCAGGACATTGCACATCAGACGTATGTCTACTATCTAGACAGATAATACTCTACAAGGAAAATGAGGCTTCATTTGACTCTTCCTTGGGAACAGACCTCCCTCCCCATCCTTGACTTCCTGACCTCTCCTCTGGAAATTCTCCATTCCAAAGTTAGTGCCTTGTACTCTTTCCCCCCAGCACTGCTGGGATGTGTTTATAAATGTGAGGGCAGAGGGTTTCTCTTCCTCTCAACCTGACACCTGAGGAAGGGCTGGGCCCCCAGATTGAGGGCCAAGACAAAATACTGTGTTTGGTGAAGAAAGACTTGGCTAGTATACAGATTTACTCTGTTCTCCAATGTTTATGTCCTAGGGCTGAAGAGCTCCCAGCTTTCTGGGGTGACTTCCTTCTGTGTAGGTCCCAGCCTGGGGCTGTCTGTCCCCACTCCTGAACAGGTGCAGTTTGGGTCACACTGTCTATGCTGAATACAGCTAGTGGGATGAGAAAGCCAGGGGCTGCGGATGAAAGTCAAGGCCTGGTAGAGGGTCATTACTGAGACACATAGAGCCAGCAGTCTCTCCTTGCCACATACCTAGCTGGCCCTCGGGACTCTCCTCACCTCCTCAGTGAGCAGGGTCATGAGTGTAATCCTCTGGGGAAGGGGGATTCCACGGAGGGGAGGGGCCGCTGTCTCTGTGGTGACTTGGGCGGGGACTCCCTTTGGGGTGCTGATGGGTACAGCGTGGAAGGAGTCAGCCAGCCAGCTATAGGGAGGGGATCCCCAGCGTCCTCATACCAACTGAAGCTCCTTTATCATGATGGAAACAGGGCTGGGGGGGAGGAGGTCAGGGGAGATGGAGCAGTGATTCCTCCAGCACCCTGACTCTTCGCCTGTTTTCTTCCAATGAAATTCTTTACATCATCCTCCCCAGTTTCAACCCCTCCCCTCTCCACCCCCGCCCCGCCCTGGCCCTGTGCCCATCCCTGCTGGCCACTGGGTCCATAGCCCAGGAGCCGCCTCCCCTTTCTCCTCCCCTGCGGTTCTTTCTGTTTTTCGTTGGCATCTGTCCGGGCATAGCCACCACCCTCCCTCTCACTCTCCCCACATCCCTTTGCTCCGCAGAGGTCCTGTCCCCTCTCCCCCTAACGCCGCCCAGCCCTCCTCTGACTGGGCGGAGAAGACTGAGGATGCATTCCGTTAGTCCCTCCACTGCCTGCCCTCCCGCCTCAGGGGACCTGAGGCTCTGAGCCGTGGCTCTCTTCCTGGGCTCCCTACAAACTGTCCCCCGCCACCCCATGAACCGTCAGCAGCCTTTAAGAAAACCGAGGGGCCCCCACAGCGCTGACCTACATAGCTGGGTCCAGGGCGGGAGGGGCTCTTCCCCAAGTCCCCTCGCCCTGGCCCCGCCTCCCTGCTCCCCCCCACTCTCTTCCTTGTCTCTTCGCTTACAGACCCAAGAAGGCTTGAGTTCCCACCTGGGGCAAAGGGGACCAGGCGAGCTACCCCACCCCTAACCTGGCAAAATCAGTGCTTAGCCCAAGACAGCTTTGGGTTTTCTGGGCATCCTCCTTCCCAAATATCTTGATCCTTCCTTTTGCCCAACCTTCCCCCACCTCCTCCGCTCCTGTCTGGGCTTCTTTTCCCAGCTGCTGCCACCGCTAGGGATACTGCCATCCTGGGGCCCCCCGCCCTGTGTTGTTGTTTTGCTCCAAGGAGAAGCCCCCCCCTTGCCCACGCCCCCCTCGGCAGCCTCACCCAGGCCCCCTTCCCTGCCCACTCGGAGCTGCGCCGCGGGTGGGGGCGGGCGGGGGGTGGGCAGCGGTGTTTGCATGCAGCAGTTTGGGGGGTTGCACTGGCTATCCAACCCCTCAGACACATACACGAACCCCCGACACACGCCCTTACTGAAGCGGCGACAGATCTCACTCCGCCCCCGACACACACTGACACAGACACACACACAGATCCTGACACAGACGCGCACACCCAGACACGCACCCGGACAGCGGCACGGCCGAGCGAGCCCGGCGCACACGCACACAGCGCGGCGTTCAGCGGGCGCGCCGCCGGCCACCCCGGCCCCGCACCGCCGCGGATGCCCGGGCAGCGCCGCCCGGTGCAGCGGCCGCGGCGACCGAACCCCGCTCCCGGACAACGCCCGCGGGCTGCCCGCCCCGCTGCGGTCGGAGCCCCCGCCCCGGCCCCCACCTCCGGCGCCGCCCCCCCCCCACTCACCGTCCTGGGAGAGGTTGGCCCCGCCGGGCGCCCCGCAGCAGGCCAGGAGCAGCAGCAGGGGCAGGGCGGAGGGGCCCCCCATGGCGCGTCCCGGCCGGCTCCCCGCTGCGCGCCGGCGAGCCTGGGTCCCCGGGGGCGGGGGCTGGGCGGGGGGTGGGCGACGACGCCGACCGACAGGGCGCCCCGAGCCGCTTCGGAGCCCGGGGCCGAGGCGGGAGCGGGAGGGAGCCGGCGCCGCTGCAGTCGCGGGGATTAAATAGGGCGCTCGGAGCAAACCATTCGGTTGGAGGTGGAGGGGGGCGACGGGGGGCTGGGCCGGTCGCGGGGGGCCGAGCTGCCGCATTCCCCACGCCCCCCGCCTCCCACACCCCCTCCGCGCCCTCGTGGCGCCTTCCAGCTTCTCCCCCGGGAGCTCCGCCAGCCGGGCGCGGGTGTGGAGCCGAGGGAGGGAGCTGGCTCAGCAGCGGGGCCCGGCGCGCACCCCTCTTAGGCTTGGGTGGAGGGAGGGGACCCGGGCAGGGCCTTGGGCCAGCTGGCGGGAGCGGCCGCTGCAGGCCTGGGCAAGGGCGTGCCCACTAGCCCGAGGCCCTCCAGCCCCGCCCTCCCTCCTTTGGCAACTGGGGAACCCCATGAGCCCCGGGCCCCCTATCAAGAGTGTTGCCCAGCGACATCTCCCCATGGGTAGCCAGTTACCCTGAGCGGTTCTCCTAAACACACACATCCCTAGCTCCTCTGACCCAAGAGCCCCGGGTTATCTGTCCAGCAACAATGTGTGGCCCCAGGCAACTTCCCTTGAAAGGCTTCTTTCAGCAAACCCCCAGGCCGTGGGAATCAATGTTTTCCTCAATCCCTTGTTTAAGAAATGACTCCCCTTCTAAAACCTGATTCCACTTCAGACTCTTGCCCAACCAAACAGCCTACAAAGCAACTCTGTAGTTTTCCCCCTTAATCCTCCTTATCCTCCCTTTGCTCACAGCCCTTCCCCCCAGTATTTTTTCTTCTTTCTTAATCTTCCAGAGGAACTTGTTCTTTCTTCTCAAGTTCTAGTAAGTAAGACTCTTGGGTGAATGGTCTGATCTGCAGACCCAATGGTCTGATCTGCAGACCCGCGAGAAGATGCCGTCTTTAAGGAGCCATGCCTCTGTGGCTAAAGCAGCGCTTGTCCCTGAGGCCGGATATAAGATGAATGAGAGAAGCAGGGCCTTTGCACTTGCTTTTAGATCAAGAGTCCCAAGTCCCCGGGGTTTGCTGTTCTGTGTGATCTGTGTATTCCTGGAAGACTCTTGGTACATCTCAGAAAGGGAGCCCTTGAAGTCAGTTTTGCTCAACCTTAGCTTTTGGGTATACATTCCTAAATCTTAGGCTCTCTGAATCAAAGAATTTTAGGTATATAAGGATTCTTTACAAACATTTGGTACAACCCCTTATTATACAGGTGGCAGCTGAGGTGATAGGGGCTTAACTGCCCATCTAAGGTTACACTGACAGTTAATAGTAGAAAACGCAAGTGGTGGTTAGGACGTGGGGCAATATGATCTCTGAAGTATCTTCCAGTCCTGTGAGCCCATGCTTTGTCCCTGCATGATGGATTTGGGTGCATGTCTTCTAACCTCTACACCAGTCCCCTTTCTGCAGTGAGACTGTGCCTCACCATGAGAATCCTTCATGTTTGGTTCATCTTTCCCCTTCTCTGACAGGCTTTCTCGGCCCTCTGTGATGGACTTAACTGTCTGCCACCTCGTAGTTCAAGGACAAGGATGTGGGAAGTACTCTGTAATCGGGAAAGCTCTGTATCAGTGTTAGTCACTGATGGAGAGGCCAACGAATATTCTCTGGGAGGTTCCTTCAGGATGGTCAGAATGCTGCCCCACTGTTTTCTCTGTTTCTAGAATCTGTCTGTGGTCTCTGGGGGAAGAGCTCTGCCTGCCTCTTGCGTGTTTTCTGAGCGTCTGGGTAGTTATTTAGAATTACTTGCAGAAGTTTTTGGCCACCTTGGGCTGTCTGACCTGCTTGCTTTCCTATATTTCAGTGACTCCAAAACATTCTCTTCCCTGGGGCTCCCTGATGTCTTAAAATCTCTGAGAGATTAAAATGGAGGGGGGAGTGTGGTTGAAGGCTGTACAGACCAGGATGCAAGAGAGAGAGGCCAGAGAGGAAGATCAGGCTTTCTAACAGTGGTGGGACCAGGTGGTATGAATTTAGTCCTACAGAGAGAAAGAAGGAGTGGGTGTGTTTTCAGAGAGAATGGGGCTTCAGAAGGGAAGGATCAGGCTCTCCTAGCTAAAGGGTCTTGATGGCTAAAGAGTATTACCTTAGGAGGTAGAAGAAGCCTTAGAGATCATCGGAGCAGGCTTAAGAGAGGACAGGTCACTGTTGCAGGAGTGAGAGGAGCTGGGCGGGATGGGACAGCAGGATAGGGGATTAGGTCCCGAGCTCCTCTAACTAATCATCTTTTCTGTCTGCTGCTCTGCCGTGATCCCCTTCTGCCTGTCCTCACGTAATGCTGTAAGGCCTGCTGGTCGCGCCCCACCCTCTACTGTAACCGCACAGGAGGAGGATCAAGGGTGGGAGGAGAGGGAGAGCTGTTTTGGAGAGACTATTAAGAGCTAGCAAATGAGACTCTGGAATGCTCTTTTCCTACTGGCTCCTTTTCCCTTTTCTGCATCATCAGCATCAGTTTGACAGCACTTTAGGCCCTGGGAATAGGAAGCAGACATTGGCTTTTAGAATTATAGAATGAAAGAGTATTAGAGTCGTAAGCAACCTTCAAGATTACCTAATCAATGCCCCTTGTTGAATGGATGAAGAAGATGAGGCTCGGAGAAGTTGACTTCCTACGATCACACAGGTGCACAGTAAAGGGGTTACCCACGCTGGATAGGGAGGCAGATAATCCCCTCGGGAGCAGGAGGAATAAGGAGAATCATTGTCAGTACTTCTGAGCAGTGTACAGATTGAGGAATTGCTCACTCCTGCGTGTCTCTGAGTGAAAGGGTAGCTTCTCCTGCAGATGTGGATGTCTCTATTGGGAATAACTCCTTGCCTGTAATCATTCTAATGCCCTTTGTACATGCATGAACACCCGGCATCTCACTCCTATTCACTACGAGTAGAGTTTTTGCAAAGCAAGACTGACCTACAAGGATTATCCCCATCATTTAAATAGGTAAGATAGAAGTATCCATGTTGGATTGTGATCTCTGTGGTTACTTTCCACTCTAAAATGCTGTGACACACAATACGCCTTTCCAAGAGACTTGCACAAAGTGTGGAGTAGGTTGTCTGTGGGATTAAAGAGCTGGTGGCTACAGTGGAGGCTGGGTGTCGGGGGGAAGCCGAGAAGGAGATTGGAGAGAAGGCGGGTTTTGGCTCCTGGATGCTCCTGTCCACTCAGCAACAGCCTAGGGAGCTGGGGGTGTGGAATGCGGTGCTGGGCTGGATGCAGCTGTGTGGGCCCTGGGCATTCCTTTCCCCGTGCTGGTCCTGCTCCTGCTCAGGATGGGAGGGGGCCTCAGCCGAGCCCGGTGAATACTAGGTATCATTCATCCAGGAGGGGGATGACTGCACCTGTAGGAAACAGCTCGGAAGACTGGGCTCAGTTCTGCTCTGGGCTCTAGTCCTTCTCGTCTCTATGACTTTTCCTTTATCAGTGAATTCTACATGGGTTTCCACATTGCTTTTCTCTTTAATTTTCCAACCCAACTAAACCAGTACTCCTCATACTGCTTCCTTCTTCCATTATCCAGTTTTAATTAACCCCATCCTTAATAATCACCTCTGTGTGCATTTTAATTCTAACCTTAATTGAATTCTAATTTCAATCCTAACCCTAATCTATTACAGACTCTAACTATTAATCCTAATACCAACCCCAATTTAATTGTCAATTTGAGCCAGCATCTTCATTCTAACCTGCTATGAGCTAGCAACTAGGACAGCAACATACATATGATAAATATGATCACAGGTACCATTTGAGAATCCGACGTTTGCCACATTTGGCACTGGGTACTATACGTGCAGAGCATCTCATTGAGGGACTGGAAAGTACTTGAAGGTGGTTGGAATTATTAGCTGCCTTACAAATATGAGGAAACAAAGGCTTAACGACATTATGTCATTTGTCAGTAGTGGGTCTGAATCTACTAGTTAAGGCCCCCTTGAGCTTAAAGCCTGTGCTCATTCCTCTTTCTGCCAACAAATACTTTCTGATCAACACTTTCCTAAAATCCTAACTAAATCTGACTGGAATGACTTCTAAAATACTGAGTTTCCCAAGAGTGTATTATTAGTTTAGGGTTTTTGTTTGTTTACTAAATAGTGGTACAAAATAGAAACCAAACAAATACACCAACAAAAAAGCCCAAATCTCCCCACCCAGAAACCCCACTGACACTTTAAAAACATGAATGTATTTAAAAGTTAAAATAATCAAACTATAGAAAGAAACAAACTGAAAAGCCTCCTCTTCCTTCCCAGACTTACTGAATTCCAACCCCCCCACCTCGGGCAGGGGGGACATTGTTGGCATTAAATTTGCCCAGCAACCATGTCTCCCACAACATATCAGAACAGCAGATAAAGTCAAGGTCAGTACCTGTCCATGAAATCACCCTAGGTATATATATGACTTAGGCATGAAAATCGCTAGACAATTTGAATTTATGATTAACAGTAACTGTTAAAGGCCAACGATATGCTAGATGTTACACAAAGTTCTTTCCAGTTAGTATTCCTTGGGGTGCTCCCAAGCTTTCTGGACAGCGTGCCTTATGCCTGCTGTACAGACAAGTGTGATCGTGTCTGAGCCTCAGGTGGAGATAAAGCCTGGAGACGCCAAATGACTGGCCCAAGAGCACAGAGGTGTGGCAGAGAGATCCAGATTTCAGATACACCAGATCTGTCTTAGCCCAGAGCCTAAGTGTTCAGCGCCTGGGTTGAGCCAGGAGACTTGTTAGATAGAAGAGGTCATTTGAGCTTTGTTCTGCAGGAGGGAAGAGGCATTGCTTGACATTAGAGAGGAGGATGACCTGAGAGACTGTGGGAGGACGCAGATCAATCTGGGAGGAGGCAGTGCAAGGGGAAATGGAGCAGGACAACCCAAGCACAGAGGGGAATGAGCGCAAGGTGCAAGTCATCGGGGATGGAACAAATATGAGCTGAGACTGGGGATAGTCTTTGTGATAAATTCAGGCAAATATAAAATCATGCAATAAGTGTGTGTGCCACTTTGTTTCAG